TGTGTGTGTGTGTGTGTGCGATCATCAGATCAATCAATCTTTATTGGTGTGTTAATAAGTGAGTGTTTGTGATTAAGTTTTCAAATATTGTACTTTTAACTACATTCAAACACATTCGTTTTTATAAAATAGGAAAAATATTAATAAGGTTAGCAACCAGCTACAAAATAAACTTTGATTGTTGTTAAACTTAACTTAACCTTCTCTGGGATTTGTCTTCCTGTAATAAAAGGTGAGAACCTCCTCGACCTGTGATCCGTTAATTAAAGGAGATGTAAGTGAAAACAGTCTGATGATATAAATGCAGTTTTTAATGAGAACGACTTCAGCAGCTTCACGTTAACATCGATATTTTACAGATTCTACTGAAACTCAAAGGACTCGAATGATTCCAGTTACATTAAATGTTGTGATACATGTTCGTCCAAAAAGCATTAAGAGCACTTTCACAATGACGTCATCCAGACTGGGAGCACCAGGAAGAAGAAGAATAAATAACAGAGATGGTGACGACCGCAGTTCTTAGTTTTCAAATTAAAACATCGACTGTAAGAACATTAAACCCAACAACAGAACATCGATTAAAACAGTGAGGACCAGGTTTAACTCTGAAGACGGTTAACATCTGCACACGTCTGGTGGTTTTCTTCTTCTCGAGTAAATCCCTGAACCACATGTAGATGAATCCATCGAGGAAACAGTCCCCAACAGATGCAACATTTCCTGTTTGATAGAAGCTTCAGGTGGAAACGACTGTGAATAAAGATGCACAACACGACGACTCCCAGAAGTGAAGCCAAAGCGTGTATATTGCCCCCTGGTGGTTGGCTGCAGTATAGGTCTAAAACCCCTCCTCCTCCATGTTAGCAGATGGGACATGGACCAAACTAAAAAAATCAAAGTAGACGTCAATTCAGCTCGTTCTTCTCTCTGATGTTTGTTCAGGTGTTTCTGATCAGTTTGGTTTGATCAGTTATTGATGATATAAAAACAGGCGGAGACGTCATGACAGCTGACACTGACTCCTGACTGGTCGAGAGCACGTATGGGCGGGACCTTGATACCACGGCTCTGACTGCAAATGACGTCATCACCACAAAATGGCAGCGATTGTATATGGGGTTATTTTGGCTTCACTTTTTTAGTGTCTGTGGATGACCGATTGACCGTCTGTATTTACAGTTACTGCTGAGAGCGAATGAGTCACAGACAGTAGAGGAGGTAGAAGGTGGAGGGACTGACGACCACAGGATGGTTTGGGTCTGGACGTGAAATTAACTGACAATAAGAAAAACAACGTCAACGGTTTGATCCTTTAAAACACAAAAATCCCAGGTTACGGTCTAACTAGCTCCCCCTAGAGGCTGCAGCGGTTTTCATTACAGCCACAATGTGAACAATTTATGTTTTCTTACAATCTTCCCACGAATGAAAATAAAAATGTAAAGTTTGTCCTGAGGGTGGCGCTAAATGACAGCTCATGAGATCATTAGACTTTAAAGAATTCTTCCTCACATTACAGACGACGTGAAGCCTGAAACAAGCTTTACAACGTAAAGTTTAACGAAACAAACTTAAGTTAGATACTTTGAGAAATCACACTGATTCAAGTTCTAGCACTTCTCTGTGCTAGTTACCAAATGTTAGCATGTTTAACGAAGACGTGTTAGCAGTGTCTGTGGACTCTTCAGGCCTTTGCACACTGGACACGTTTTCTTTGTGAGATTAATTTATAATATATTCATATATATTCCAAATCTGTATCGCGTCAATACTCAATACTGAGGCTTTCGTTTTTTTGGACTAAGGTAATTTTTTTTCAATGTTTCGATAGCGACTTGTACACATCTAACCAATCAGAAGCAGAAGAAGAAGAACTTCCTCCTCCATCAGGTCTGAAAAATTCATTCATCTCTCATGATTTTGTTTTTTTGACACTGGTAATTTATTCGCTAAGAATAAATATAAATAGACGAAAATCAAATCATTCTTTATTTTGTGCTTTTTATTTGTGTCGTGTTTATGTGCAAAGGCCTTTAGTCCTTTTTTTATTTAAAGGGTCACTGATGTTGACTGAAAATGTTTTTCAGGTACTGCTGTGCCATTTTTGTTGGAGTTTAAGGCGACACACTGACGGAGAAGAAAGGGGCCCAGAATGGAACCCTGTGGGACGCCACACATGTTTGTTGAGGTTTAGCTGATAACCGAAAAGTTTCAATTTCTGTTTTAAGACTAAATTTCAGTCAAACCTCCCAAACAACACAAAGATTTTAGAACCGGTGGTCCATCGGTCAGCCGGTGCTGCATGTACGTCCTGTGGGAAAGACAAACCTCCAACCCCCACGCAGTGATCGAGATTTTGTTTTAGTGTAAATGTTTCACTTTTGGGTTCTTGTGGGTTAACACTGGAGAAGTTGGTCAGAAGTGAAAGGGTTAGAACCTCAACATCAGATTTTCCCACAGGACCTGAATGCAGCAGCTTTCATTCCAACTGAACATTTTCTTTCTTTTCGTTAGTGGAGCGAGGAAGACGAGGCCGTCTCCGATTGGTGGATGGCCAGGCCCGGGGCCTGCTGGGTGGAGCTTGGTCCTGACGCCCCAGGGTTCCCACTGAGGGTCATGGGAGCAGGCGGTCGGGGGTTGAGGCGGGGTGGGAGGGGGTTTGAGGGGCGGATGAGAGGCGGGGGCTGCTGCAGTGTGGGGCGGGGCTGCAGGAAGCGAGCCTGCTGTTGGAGGGGCGGAGGCTGGCGGTGCAGGGAAGGCGTGGCTGGTAGGGAGGGCCGCAGAAGGGGAGGGGGCTGGTGGAGGGAAGAGGAGGAGGTGCTGGACGTCACCAGAGTCTGAGCTGATGAAGACGAGGAGGCAGCAGGAGACGCACCCGAGGAGGTCACCTGACCCTGTGAAGAGGAGAGGTCAGAGTTTACTCACTAAGAGTCTGAAGGAATTTCTGAACAATCACCTGATCAATTTCAAACCTGTCGGGTGTGTTGCTAAGGATCATGGGAAATAGAGTGTTGCCTGTGACGTGCTGATCTTTGTTTTCATTGGTGTTTATTTGTTTGGTAGTTAGGAAGCAGGTTAACTTTACGTTCTCACCTCTTCGTCTTCTTCGTCAGTGCTCTTCCCTGATGGAGTGGTGGAGCTGTTCTTTCCCTCCTCTCCTGAGGTGGCGCTGTCTCCGTTGGGAGCTCGTGTTCCCTGCTCGGCCTCCCACTCCTGCAGCACCTCCTCCAGGTTGAACCGCCGCCGGTAGTTCACAAAGAAGTTCTTCACCTGGCCGACCGTCTTGTTGCCTATGACGTCTGCGATGGCCTGGAAGTCTTTTCCATATTTCCTGACACCTGGAGAAGTCACGTTATCCAAATCATGAACTGAATTCACCACGTGAGAACAAAGTCTGTGTTGCGTCTGATAGAGCTGATGTCCGAATAGAGCCGTCGTTAAATGAGGTCGCGTGCTGGCGACATTTCGTTCACAGATGCTCCACCCCTCGTCTGATCCAGTTTATTTCCAGTCAGTGACGATGTGTCTGCGTTTTAACTTCCATTTTTGTTTTTATCAAACAGACGTAAACATTAAGATCTTGACGTGATGAGAGCCGTGAGAATGAATGAGAACTGTGATACGATCACTGAGCGGAGATTCACTGTAAAATCAGTAAAACTCTCAGATCAGCTCTGTTTTAATAACGGAGATGAATCTCACCTTGAACAGCCAGGAGCTGCTCGTCCGTGGTCCAGCGAGCGTTCACCTTCTGGTTACACTGCAAAGTTAATCATCAGCGTTACAGCGACTGTCCAGGAAAACACGCAGCTTTGTGTCGAGGAGTAAAAGAAGAAAACTTTTCTACTACTGTCTCCAACAGGTTTAACCCATTCAGACCTGGACGAGGAAGAGGAGGAGGATCTGGACAGATTTGTTGGTTTCAGATGTTCAACTATAGGATGAAGTCAATAATTGACAATGAAAGAAACAAATATTGTTTCTGTAAACGTTGATTCTGCTCTTCAGAAAACCCTCAGACTTTAGAGCCTCGGGTGTAAATGGGTTAAATTGAAGACGAGTATTTCAGATGAATCTCATTCAACAATATCACAGTTATAATATTTATGTGAAATATTTTGCAGCTGAGACGCTGAGTGTCAGTGAGTCTGTACCTCAGGAAGCCTGAACTCTTCGATCCCAGACTCCAGCATGTGTTTGAGTCCACTGTTCATCTGCTTTGCGTTCTGCACCTGAACAACGACACAGAACTCAGGTGAGAAAAAACCAGATATGAACTCTGCCTCCACGTCAGAAGGGATTTAACTGTGTGATCATGACGTGTATATTGAATTCATAGTTCTTTGTGATCGTTGTTTGTTTAACTGCTATAAAATGCATTATTTTTTACAATTGTTATGATTATTAGGAGGTGTCACCACCAGGTGGCAGTGGAGCCCTGGCAGATCACACAGGCATGAGACTGGACGACTCAGGAAACAGGGCGGGGTCCTTCACCTGGGCTCAGACATGGTTCCACCTGTGCTAGCTAGTCGGTCACAGTTAGCTTCATCTTTGTGAGATTCTCTCAGTTTGAGTCTCTTGGTTGAATCTTTACTGACCGACACAACTCTCTTCATGCTCATATGCTAACAGCAACATGCTAATGCTAATAACATGGAGGTTTGTTTTTTCAGTTGAATCAAACTTTTGCTGCTGTTTTTATCCTGAAGCTTCTCTGGAGCTTTTGCTCAAATCTCCCGATCTTCATCCAGCAGTAGATTGTTCTGTAGATCTTCACATGAACATTTATTTTTCTGGAAACTCTAGAAATTAGTTTTTACAACAGATCAACAGTCGATCGGCATCTGAGGAATCAGGTGATTGAAACTATACGTTCTCCATCTGGTTCTCAGACTCTGGACATTTTCTGTGTGGCCTCCAACCTGTCTCTTGAGGGACACCAGCTCCATGTCCAGCTGACGGAGGAGGGTGTTGGCGGAGGAGGCGCTGCAGGACACGGCCACCACGTCTTCCTGCGTCAGGTACATGCCTTTGGGAGGCCGACAGCGAGAGCGCTGGTGGTGTCGGTGCTGCAGGGTCTGGTGCTCCCGTCGACCCAGAGCCACCTTAGAGCCCGGCACCACCGGCTCCACCTGGTTCTGAAGGAGGGAGAACATGGTGACAGAGAGTTTATGAACCTAAACGGACTTTTTTCATAATAAAAATGTGATGTTTTTTAGTTTCATATTTTGCAGATGAAAAATCTCCACTAATCTGTGGTAAAATATAACTAATGCACCTGTAGACTGTGTGTGTATGTGGGCATAAGTGTGTGTGCGGTATCGCCATGGCAACAGCAGCTCGGGTGAGTCTGCGTACCTCTTTCTTCGCTTCCTTGTTGGGGTCGTAGTCGCTGTCGTGGGCCTCGATGGGATTCACTTCCTCCATCTCCTCGTCACTGCAAACAAACCTAACTTTTAGTTATCACACAGAACCGTCAGCAGCCGCCGAGCTGAGATCCGATTTATTTAGACTTTAAAATGCGTGGAGCTGTTTGTGTCAGAGCTTCTACCTGACGTCCTGGTTGCTCCTGTTGGCCAGTTTACGAGCCTGTCGGTCCATCAGACTCGTCCTGGACCGAGTCTTCTTCCACGAGTAGTAATACTTCACCAGACTGGAGATGGATTTGTCAGGTAGCTAAAAAAATTCAAACCAGGTTTGAGCCACTCTGAGTTTCAGGATACGGTTGTTGTTGTGTCAGCCGTTTACCATCTGCTGGATGCGGTGGAAGCTTTTCCCGTGGAAGCTGAACGCCTGCTCGAACAGAACCTTGTCCTCCACCGTCCACTCGTCAGGAAACGGCGTGAAGTTCGGGAGGTCGGCCAGAGACTTCTCTATGTTGTGTTTGTGCCAGAAGAGCATGCCAAGAGCCTGGACACACACACACACACACACACACACACACGTCAATCTCAACTTTATCTGTGTTTTGTCAAAAGTCCCTGGAAGTTTCTCAGAGTAACTAAAAACTTCGCCTCTAAACGTGAAAACCGGCTGCGTTGTGTGGAAACTCCGAGGATCATGGGTAATATCCA